TTTTTTTTTTTTTTCTCCTTGGTTGGATTGAGAAGGGGATATATATCCTGAAAGAGTTTCCCAAATGACTCTAAAAATTTCTACTTTTCATTGAGAACCACTGTTCTAGAGATAGCTTAAGGTACCTCCCTAGCAGTGATGTTTTAAAGTTTCAGTTCTAAAAAATTCCCTTATAGGGAAATTCTCTTAAAATCTTAAATAAAGGCTCGGCGCCTGTAGCTCAAGCGGCTAGGGTGCTGGCCACATACACTGGAGCTGGCGGGTTTGAATCCAGCCCAGGCCTGCCAAACAACAGTGACAACTGCAACCAAAAAAATAGCTGGATATTGTGGTGGGCATATGTAGTCCTAGCTACTTGGGAGGCTGAGGCAAGAGAATCGCTTAAGCCTAAGAGTTTGATGTTGCTGTTAGCTGTGACACCATGGCACTCTACCCAGGGTGACACCTTGAGACTCTGTCTCAAAAAAAAAAAAAATTAAATAGAATTTGTATTAGTTTCAATGACCGAATTTCATTCTTCAGCTTTCCTTAAAATATGACTGACCCTTGCATATTGCAGAAGGGACCAACCCCTTGCACAGTTGAAAACCTAAGTATGTAACATTTGATTCCCCCCAGATCTTAACCACCAGTAGCCTACTGTTGACTGGAAGCCTTACTGATAACATAAACAGCCAGCTAACACATATTTTTTGTATCACTACTCTATTCTGTATTCTTACAATAAAGTAAACTAGAGAAAAGCAAATGTTATTAAGAAAATCATACTGAAGGGAAAATACGTTTCCTGTTCAATGAGTAGAAGTGGATCATCATAAAGGTCTTTATCCTCATCATCTGCCTTGAGTAGGCTGAGGAGGAAGAGAAAGAAGAGGGGTTGATCTTGCTGTCTTGCAGAGGCCGAGGGGGTGAAAGAAGGAAAAGGAAACACTTGGTGTAACTTACCGAAAACAACCTTATATAAGTGGGCCTGTGCAATTCAAACCCATGTTGTTCAAGTGTTAATTGTAAAACACAGTATTTCCGTAGCTGACATTAGCTATCATAATGCAACCAAAGTTAGGCATTTGTGTTTATTAACTATGCCATAATAAATATTATGGTGCCCGTAGCTCAGTAGGTAGGGCGCCGGCCTGGGCCAGTTAAAACAACAACGATAACTGCAACAACAACAACTATAAAAAATAGCCCAGTGTTGTGGCGGGTACCTGTGGTCCCAGCTGAGGCACAGAGGCTGAGGACCTTGGGAAGCTGAGGCAAGAGAATCGCTTGAGTCCAAGAGTTTGAGGTTGCTGTGTGAGCTGTGATGCTACAGCACTCTACCCAGGGTGACAGCTTGAGACTGTCTTAAAAAAAAAAAAATCTGTTCTTCTGTTCTCTTTGGCTCTTGTACCTGTTACTCACAGGAAAACTGTACTCACAGAAAAACATACATGTGATGTACAGTGCTCATATAATTCAAGTTTTTATGCAAAAAAAAATGAAAAGCTTTAATGCTCATAGAACATTGAGGACAATGGAAATGAAAAGAAGCAATGCAAATGATCTCTCTCTATGTCTTAAGATGGTATCACAGGGATTGTAGTGTACAAGAGTCATGGCTGTAAATTAGCAAGCTGGAAGCTCTTACAAAGAACTTAATGCCCCGTTTGTAGACAAATCTTAATTATGAAGATGAACAACTGCATGATAGCTCTTGTTTTGTGCTAATGAGATTTGTGAAATTCAAATGAGTCATTGAAAATGTGAATAAAGAGTGGCGCTTGTGGCTCAGTGGGTAGGGCGCCGGACCAATATACCAAGGGTGGCGGACCCAGCCTAGCCAAACTGTAACAAAAAAATACCAGGCGTTGTGACTACTTGGGAGGCTGTGGCAAGAGAATCACCTAAGCCCAAGAGTTGGAGGTTGCTGTGAGCTGTGATGTGATAGCACTCTACCAGTGGTGACAAAGTAAGACTCTATCTCAAAAAAAAAAAAAAAAAAGGAAAAATGTGAATAAATGCCTCATAATCCAAAATGGGAAATTAATAAAACTTATTGTAAAGGAGGAAGGATTTTTATAACAAATGGAATAATATATCTTGGGATATGGCTCTATTAATACATGTTTCTCATAACACCTTTAATGTCTGCAACTACTTCATGAAGGATGTACTATGATTATTATCCCATTGTTAAAGAAAAGTAACTATAAAAGAAGGCACAAGGAAGTCAAGTAACTTGCCCAGGGTCTCACACTTGGTAAGTAGGGGAAACAGATTAGACCAGGCAGCTCACTCCAGAGCTACATTTTTACCACTAGACAATAGTGTATAAAAGGCCTGTATCATTGTTTTTGGAGACCTTTTTCTGTTACAGAGGGAAGCAGTTACTGCTACTGTACCTTTCTGTTGTAAGATTGTCAATTTAAGATTATATTTTGACCGAAATAATTTATTGTGATTTAATTACAGAATTTAAAACCAATCTTATACTTTTTGTTTTTGTTTTCCCTCTTACTTTTCTCCTAAAGGGCTTTCATCACTCCAGGATATTGAAATAGGAGTGCAGCATATTTTAGCAGACATGATTGCTAAAGACAAAGAGACACTTGATTTTATTCGAACATTGTAAGTAACTTGTAGGGAGTTTTCTGCTTTGTGGACTCCTACTGTTGATGGTCACATGCTTAGTGCTAACATCAGGGTTTATTAAAAACTTTTTTTTTGGGCTCCTGGAAGTTGAGAGAGTAGCGACGCGAAGGTGGTAGCTGCCGCTGCGACCGCCGCGGGATAATAAGCCGGGTAGAGTTGCTGAGGATCTGCCATACTTATTGATTAACTATGGAAGATTATACCAAAATAGAGAAAATTGGAGAGGGTACCTATGGAGTTGTGTATAAGGGTAGACACAAAACTACAGGTCAAGTGGTAGCCATGAAGAAAATCAGACTAGAAAGTGAAGAGGAAGGGGTTCCTAGCACTGCAATTCGGGAAATTTCTCTATTAAAAGAACTTCGTCATCCAAATATAGTCAGTCTTCAAGATGTGCTTATGCAAGATTCCAGGTTATACCTCATCTTCGAATTTCTTTCCATGGACCTCAAGAAATATTTGGATTCTATTCCTCCTGGTCAGTTCATGGATTCTTCACTTGTTAAGAGTTATTTATACCAAATCCTCCAGGGGATTGTGTTTTGTCACTCTAGAAGAGTTCTTCACCGAGACTTAAAACCTCAAAATCTCCTAATTGATGACAAAGGAACAATTAAACTGGCTGATTTTGGCCTCGCCAGAGCTTTTGGAATACCTATTCGGGTATATACACATGAGGTAGTAACACTCTGGTACAGATCCCCAGAAGTATTGCTGGGGTCAGCTCGTTACTCAACTCCAGTTGACATTTGGAGTATAGGCACCATATTTGCAGAATTAGCAACTAAGAAACCACTTTTCCATGGTGACTCAGAAATTGATCAACTCTTCAGGATTTTCAGGTATTTTTGTTTTATACCTAAGCTGCTCAAAACTTTTAAGTTAAATAATAAAGGCAACATATAATATGTAACAATGAGATTATATTCGTGCTTTAACTAAGAATTTGTTTTTATATGGTTTGTAGAGCTTTGGGCACTCCCAATAATGAAGTGTGGCCAGAAGTAGAATCTTTACAGGACTATAAGAATACATTTCCCAAGTGGAAACCAGGAAGTCTAGCATCCCATGTCAAAAACTTGGATGAAAATGGCTTAGATTTGCTCTTGAAAATGTTAGTCTATGATCCTGCCAAACGAATTTCTGGCAAAATGGCATTGAATCATCCATATTTTAATGATTTGGACAATCAGATTAAGAAGATGTAACTTTCTGACAAAAAGTTTCCACGTTCCAGATAGCTGTATTTTTTACTGTTAACTCTATTTTTGTCTTGTATATTTTACTTTTCTTTGTTGTAAAACTTATGCTGTACTTCATCTTCTAATTTCGAAAATATAACTTAAAAATGTAAAAAAAAAAAAAAAAACTTTTTTTTTTAGTAGTGGAACTTTTTGTTCAAACAATAGAATCTTAATACATAAAACAGATAAAAGTAAAGTTTTAATTGAATTCTGGGCAGGGAGCCTGGAACTATGCCTACTCATCCTCCTTACCCTGAGGTACCTCAGTGAAAGGCTCTGATGAACACAGTGTAAAAATCACTGCATTACACAGTATGTGATTGAGATCAATTCATGTTCATTTAGAGTGGGTGCTGTTGCTTTTTAAACATGCTGTGATTTATGCTTGATTTTATAATAACTCATTTATGGTGTCTAACAGTAATTAGGTTGACTTAAGGATGTATTTAATATAGTATCAGGTCTGGATAAAAGTGTTGACCTCGAATGAATTTTAGCTGTTGAGGAGACCAACTTATCTGTTGCATCACAGGTCCAATTTTTTTTTTTTTTTTT